CATCAGGGCAGCAGCAGCAGCAGCAGCAGGAACTCAAGAAGCGTCTCCCTCCGATGCCCATTATCCCGATGCATCACCTGCGCCGGCTCCCCAAGCGTCTCCCCTCACCCGCCAAAACCTCCCCCTGCCCCTGAACACCAACCACAGCTCCGAGCGGCTCCCCGTTAGTTACAGACTCCATCATATGCAACTTGTTTTTTTCCCCCTAGGCCAACTCTGGCCCTTGTATGCAGAACGTGACCAAACGTGACCATGTATGACCATGTATCAGGTTATATGGGTGTGTGCGTGCACGCAAGCATGCAAGCTGCAGAGCCCTTCTCACCCGCGAGCTCCATCATCGCAGCCACATCAGCCGCCGGCAGCCGCACCTTGACACGTCCACTCGCGCGAACAATGTCGTGCATCTCCACACAACCTGGTCACAAAGCCCCACCGGCACCGGCACAGGCAAATGAAACCACCAATAAGGACGGTAATGGAAGCACGGGAGAGGGCACCTTAAACGGGACAGTTCCCCGCGGTCGCTGGTAAGGGGGGAAAACGTCATCATGCAGGATCTAGGACAGCAGGATCCGCTTCCCCTGACACCCCCGGCTCCGGACGCCGGCAGTTGTGTGTGTTTGTGACTTTTGCACATTGCACGAGGCCGTCTTCCCCCCCCCCCCAATCCCCAACCTGATCCCCTGAGCCCAGATCCCACCGTTGCCATCTCCATCTAGGAAGCAGAACATCATGAACACCAGGAACTCCGAAAAGGACACCTTGCCGTCACCTGCGGGAAGGGCGGCAGCACCAGTAGCGACAGCACCAGTAGCAGTAGTAGTAGCAGTAGTAGTAAGAGTAGTAGTGGTAGGAGGAGGAGGAGGAGGAGGAGAAAGAGTGGTAACTGGCACAGGGCAGGGTGGCCTGTGTGAAAATTGGCGCACAGCAGCTGCTGCAGCGCAATACCGCAAAACGGCTCATTTCCCCCCACCCCCCTGCGTCGACCCGCTTCTACCACCCGCCCCCGCCCGCCCCACGCAGCCGGGGGCCCTGAGGCCACCATCAATATAAAACTCACAGACTCTCAGATTGAACCCGACACAACGGAGGCTGCGCCCACAATAAAAAATTTAAAAAACAATATTTAATCTAAAAAAACTTTTTATTAGGGGGGAAGGGCAATTATTTATTTATTTATTTATAATTGCACCCACCATCGCGGTCGATCTCCGCCACCATGGCTTTCAGCTCGGCCCTGCTGAGCCGTGTGCCGGTCAGCAGCAGCAGGTAGATGGACAGCTCGTGGGAGGTGACGGTTCCGGAGCAATCCCCGTCCAGAGCCTGGAAGGTAGCACGGAACTCACTCACGTCAGCTGCAAGGAGACGACGGCGGCGGAAGGGGAGGAGGACGAGGACGGGTGGCGGGATGAGCGGGTCAGGAGAGCAAGCAAGGAGGCAAGAAAGGCAAAGCCGGGCGGAGGGGTAGGGGCCTTGAGGGGAGGCATGCTGCAGGGAGGGAAGGGTCAGGGGGTAGGGCGGAGTGGGAGGACAAAGCGATGAAGGCATTATGGCGGACAGCCAGGCCAGTGCGGCTCGCCATGCCCCAGCTTTTCCCACCATCCCGTGCTCACTCCCGTCTCGCCAAACACAGCCTAGTGGCCTGCCCCCTTTCTGCTGACCAGCCTAGTGACCTGCCCCCTGCCACCCTGGCGCCATCCCTTCGCTCCGGCGGCCCCTGCTGCCCGTCTGGCCGTGCGCTGCCCCGACCCGGGGCTCCTACGCCCACCTTGCAGTTTGAACCGGCCGCCGGGCGGTGGCTGTGCCACCCCCCTCCGCACACGGGCCATTGCCAGCCATATGAGCAAGATCTCCTGGTACACCGCGCCAGTGGAACCCAGCCTAGGTGGGGGAAGCCCAGGGAGAGAAATGAATGGACTGCCGGGTGTGTGTGGGGTGGGGTGGGGGGGTAAGACGAACCACTGGCGAACGGAGCTGGGTGTGTGTGTGGTGTGTGCGTGTGTGTGGGGGGGTAAGACGAACCACTGGCGAGTGGAGCTGTGTGTGTAGGGGGGAAATGGGGGGAGGAATTGCCAGGGTGAGAAACATATGTAAGGGAACAAGGAGTTAACTGCCACGGCGTCCAAAGTTCGGAACTGCCCCTAGGGGGTCCATAGAGGGTCCGAAGCGATGAAGTCACCGCCAGGGGGGAGAGGAGGGAAATCGTATCACGACGATGCGATGCGATGATGATGATGCGAAAAGCAAAGATTATGAATTTCTGACGTCCGAAGCACCCGACCCCCAACTGCTGCCAGAGTCCAAGCAATGGCTCGACCATTCCCAGTTCCCCCGGTAGCGTGTGAACCGGGGTTAAGGTTCAGGAGGGCGGGAAACACGTGGCAAAACAAGATGCGACAACAAACATGCGGCCGCAAGCGAGTTCGATTAGAATAAGGAGGTCCAATCAGACCAACCGATCAGACCAACCGATCAGACCAACCGATCAGACCAACCGATCAGACCAACCGATCAGACCAACCCAAGACGGTGCATCCAGTCCCTGTCCACACCTCTTCCCCCCTTTCCGTGCTCCCCTTCTGGCCCCCTCCAGCCGTTGCTTACCTGGTTGCTTTCCTCTGCGCCCCCCCCGCCATGACCACCCCCGCCTGGTTGGCCAGGTTGGCCAGGAACAGCGAGTTGAGGTGGGCGCCTTGGAGGGTACCGTGGCGGGCGTGGTGGCGGGCGGCGGCGTGGTGGGAGCTCCGGAAGCAGCGAGTGCACTGCTCGATGATGAAACTAAGGCGGCGAGGAGGGGAAGGCAGGAGAGGATGAGCTAGAAGGTGGGCAAGGAGGTGGAGACGAGGCGGTGGGGGGATCAGCAAAGCATGAATCAGCCCATGTGGGGGAGGGGGGGGGGTTGAGGAAGACGGGTCTGTGCGTAAATACCTACTTAAGATATACAGACGCAAGAGAATTTCCACCATTATCATCACATGCCCGCGCAAATGCCCCCCTTGTTCCCGCCGCACCCCGTGATGCCGCCCTCCTCCTCCTCGGCCTTTTTGTGTCGGCGGATGTGCTCCTGCAGCGCTCGGGGATTGCGGGTGCAGGTGGTGGTGACCAGCGTGTACAGCGGCACCACCACCCAGCCGATGTATAGCATGAGGGCCAGGTTGGCGACCAGGAGCGGCAGCCACACGTGCAGCAGGCGCCGGCTCTCCTGCAGCAGGCGGTAGAGCTCAATCAGGGCAAGGACTAGTACAAGGACTTCGCCTACTCGCTTTGGCGCTAACACGGGTTCCCAGTTCGAAAATTTCTAGCTTGAATTTGTGGCTTCTCTTAGGGCTGGGGATTGGTTTCATTTCGAGATTTCAATCCGCGGAAATCTCGAGGGAACGAAATAATCCTAGGGATAGCGGGAAGCAACAGTACAGCAGTACAGCGTGAGATTTACAGGCGCGGTCGTGTGTGAAGTAAAGTGAAGTGAAGTGCTTGTTTTGATGAAGCTACAGCCCCAATGGTGGACGCGGTAGTTCGGCGCGGTAGTTTGGAACACAGAATGGGCGGCTGCACAATCGGGGTGGGAAGGCCCCCAGAAAACGCACGCTCCGCCACAATGGCCATACCGGAATAACCAATCGTTAAAACTACCAATCTCCAACCACCAAACGCAACCAAGCCATCCCGCTTTCGTCCTTCCCACCCACCCAACGCTTCTTACCTGAAGGATGCTCGAGTCGGTGCCGTACGACAGCATGTAGTACAAGCACAACGTCAGGCTGAGGGAGTTCTGCAGGTAGTTGACGTGGGTGATCCAAAGCAGCAGCTGCGGACGGCCCCACCAGAACAGCCCCTGGAGCTTTCGCTCCACTACATCCATATCCGGCCTTGTGCCGCCACCGCTACCGGCTCCGCTGACGCGCTCGTCGACCTCCTCTTCATCGGCATTGTACGGCTCAAATAGCGGCACCGCGGTACGACTAGAGCAGGCTGGATTATCAGCGGGGCTGGCGCCGGTAACCTCCAGTGCAGGGGGCGGCGGCGGCGGCGACGGCGACGGCATTGGCGGCGGAAGCGTCTGGCAGGCGGCGTCCTGAGCAGGGCGGTGTGTGACCGCAGTCTCCCCATCAGCCATTAATGCATTCGCCGCCGTCGTCACCTGGCAACCGGCGTCGGTTGTGGTGGCTGAGGGACGACGCGCGGAGACAGCGGCGGTGGTGGTGCTCGGTAGCAGCGGCGAAGCTGCTGCCGCCGCCGCTGCTCCATGCCATGCCGGCGGCACCGCCGCCACCGTCGTCTCCGACGCTTGCGCCCCGAGCTCCAGCTGATGCAGCGGCGGCCCTGCCAGCGCCGCGTCCATATGCGCTTGTACTGCCAGAGCTGCGGCGTCCGCACCCTCGGCGACGGGGGCGCCACGGCCGCCGCCGCCGCCGCCGCCGACAGCCTTCACCGACAGTGCCGGCACTGCCTTGGCGGCGTGCGACGAAACCCCGGCGGAAATCCATTCCATAGGTCCCCCATTTAACAGCTCCGCCGCCGCCGATACCGTACTGCTGGCCACCGCCACCGCTGCCCTCGGCGACGCCATGTTCGGCATCAACACCGGGGACAGCAACCCGGTGTTGCAGGGCGGCGGAGGCACGTCCAATATGGGCAAGTGCGGCTGATCCAGATACAACGGGTTGGCCTTGATGAGCCGCCGCCGCTCCGCCGCCGCCGCCGGCAGCAGTACGGATGAGCCCGTTCGCGCGTCGCCGATATCGTAGCTTCTCCGCCAAAGCACCGGCGGCTCATCCCCCCACTCTGAACCCAGATGGGTCGGTGGACCAGACGTGACGGAGCGCGCCCTGGTGCCCTGGTGCAGGTGGTGGTGAACCAGGCGCTTGGCGGAGGTGTGCTTGCCGCTGCCGACGGAGGCCGGTGCCGCGGGTTTGGCACCGCTGGCGGAGGCCGACGGCTTGCGCGGGGGTTGCGGGGACCGCCAGCCAATCGCCGGCGCGGTCCGCTGCTGCTGCGGCTGCGGCTGTGGCGCGACCTGCCGTTTTTCACTGACCTGGCGTGGCGCCATCGTGCGATCCGCCACCGTCGCCACCGCCGCCGCCGCTGCGGAAGACATGCTGACCGATTCGGCCTCCTTGAATAGCGGGTTGGCGAATTGGTAGCTGGGGGCGCTGTCCAAAGGTTCAGCTCCATGTCCCGGCATTTGCATAGCGGACGGCCGGCGGCTACGACCGCCTTCGTCGCCGCCACCCTCCCCGGCCGACGGATTGCCTCCCAGCCAGCCAATGCGACCGGACCCAGCGCCCGTTAGGGTTCCGAAGGAAAAGCCGTTGCCGGCGGCGGCGGCCGCCTCCGCCTCCGCCGCTGGCAGCGCACGCGCTGGCGCCGACAGCAGCGCCGCCGCAGCGTAGGCGTTGGCGGCGCCAAAGACGGTTTTCTTGTCGTCGCCGTCGCAGCCATTCTGCCGGCTGGCGAGCAGTCCTGCCACAGCGGCGTCTGGAGAGGCTAAGTCGTACAGAGGGTTGTTGCAGCCTGTCGTACAACCCGAAGCCAGGCCGTTCCTGCAAGCCCACCAAGAGGTCCAGACGCAGGATGACAGAACGCAGAAATCAAGTCTCAGCGAGTTGACTTTGCGCCTACCGTACGGAAACGGTCGAGGCCAACGGTCACCAACCACCAACCGCTAACGCTTACGTGGCTACTACAACACATCACATCTATTTCACACACAGAGCCATGCGCCCACCCATCATCAGCACGGAACTGCACCTGCTGCAGCATTCGCATTCACAAAATCTTCATCACAGTCGGAACTCTACTCACGGCCAACGCTACGGCTAAACTCGGCCAACGCACCCCTCAAGAACCGCCGTAGTTGCACCAGCCGCAGCTTCCACGTGCACAGAGGTATGAGGCGGGTGGGCCATATCCCCGGACCGCACGCCGCTGCCCGTGCTTAAGCTCCGGCCAACCATCTCCACGCCGCGGTGTGGCCCTCCCCGCGCCATGATATTGATGCGGCTGGGTCCTCCGCCGCCGCCGGCAGCTTTGCCACTGGCACCGCCGCCAGCAGCAGCTCCGACACCGCTTGCAGCCTTGCTGTTGGTAGCAGTACCAGCGGCGCCGGCCCCGCCACTATTTGCAGACTTGCCACCGCAGCCGCCGGTCGTCCCGGCGGTACCGCTGACGGTGCTGGCTCGCCCGAGGCTGTTTGAGCGGCTACGCGTACCAGCCACCCTGGGGCCCCTTCCGCTGCCTCCGCCTCCGGCGCCCCAGTCCTGCGCTTCCGCCACCGGCCCAGGCCCCAGTATGTACGGCTGCCAGTCCTCTACCTCCATCGAGCTGCCACCACAATACGCACTTCCAACAGACGCCTCTAACCGCGCTCGGGAGGGCAGCGGCTGGGGCCCCACGCTGAGCAACATCTGTACAGGCGCCGCCGCCGCCGGCAGGTAGTGCATGCCGGCTGTGGGACGGTGCCACCAGCGCCGACGAGCCTTCGCGTCCGCCGCTCCTTCCATCGCCATGCACCATGAGGACGTAGGCGGGGGCCGCCGCGGGGCCAGCGCTGCCGCCGCCGCCATCGTCTCCGTCGTACCTTCCCACGCCTCCGCCAGCGGCCCTGCGCCCCGGTTGAGCTGTCTCAACGGCTGCGGCGCCGCGTAGGGTCCGCTGCCAGCGTACGGCAGACCGCCACCAGCGCGCCGGTCCGCGCCGGACACGCAGTACGTATCTGCGGCGCGGCTACCCCCGCCGCCGTCACCATCCTGCCCTTCTGCCGCAGCGGCGGCGAACCGCGACGACAAGTTACGGACGGCTCGGCTACTTCCTCTACCACCACTGCCGCCGCCACGGCTCAGCATCACGGTTTCAGGGCTTCTGTTGCCGCGACGGTGGACCGTGTCGCCGCCGCCGCCGCCGCCGCCGCCGCCGCCGCCACGGCCCTGCTCCTGAGTCTCTTTCCCCCCTAGCTGCTGCTCGCTCCCACTTGCTGAGCCCCCTCGCCGCATGGACCGCCGACTTGTACCTACTCAGCAAGCACACATGATGCCAAGTTGGACAACAGGGCACCATGCTGATGGACCTTAAACCCCCCCCGTCGTCCACGCAGGACATGCCATGCCAGCGTACAGCACCCCACAGCACCCCACATACCACAGCCCAGGAGGAGAGGAGCGGCATTCATTCATGGAACTCACCCTCGCTGTCACTACCGCCGTGGGGCCCCGTCGCCGCGGGGGCCTCCGCCGCGGCGGCGACGGGCCTTATGTGCTGGTACGCTTCGGACAGGGTGTTGACGCGGTACGTGGTGGTTCCGGAGCGGCCCGCCTCCGCCGTCATGATGTGCTGGATGGTGGCTAAAACCCACTGGTGGTGTGGTATGGCGGGTTGAAGTTTTTCCCAAGAGAAAGGAAAGGTGGTGAGGGACGAGGGCAGGGCAGTGTCAGCGCTAAGGTTAAGGCAGGCGGCAACCCGGTGGTGGAAGACACGGTGCTTGACGCGGAGGCATCATTCTCCGGATGGGATGATGATAACGGCTTATGCTGCCCCTCGCCGCGACTGCGGCTAAGGGGCTTACACGGATGTCCTAGCGCGCTGCTCCGAAACGGTGTCCCGGGCGGGCCCGCGCGCACTCATTCCCTCGACATCTGTGTCTTTCACTTCCGACCACTTAAACCCCTCCCTACCCCACTCCGTCCTTTCAACGCCTCCGTGCTTCTGTCCCTGGGCGCTTCGAGGTGCTGCTATAGACTCGCGCTGTATGCATGTATGTGGGCGGGCAGAAAAAGGAATGGCTCAAGGAAACATCACACGGGGCCCACCGCCGCCGCCGCAGCAGCAGCCGTCACCGTCACTGTTACCGTCACTGTCACCGCGCGGCACCTCCTATCGGATCCCCCTCGGGCTCAACTGTAGTAGCTGGTACACAGTACGGCACACATAACCTCTACAAATACGCGCTAAGCGCGACCACCAGAGCATCCCAAGTGGCCTTTTCAGCGGCGGCCAGCTACCACATCAACCTACCTGCAGCTTGAACATCACCACCACTTGCATGATGATACTGATGCCGCCGATCCACACGATCTGGTACGCCTCCGTCGTGTACAGCGTGAAGATCGCCACGATCAAGGCCTTTGGGGGGGTTGTTGGCCGGAGAACATGAACAAGAATAATATAGCGGATGACCGTCATTGAGCACCGTGTTAGTGTGTGTTTGAGAGTGTGTTACTGTGTGTCTGTGTGTCTGTCTGTGGATAAGATAACCGCCATCATCATCACGTGGAGGGGACCGAAACGAAGGTCCCAACCCAACCAGCCCCCCAGACACACACACACACACACACGGTCAAGCAACTTAGCGGCCAGTCTCGCAACACAACGAGCAAAACAGACTAGCAGGAGACAAACAGAATTACCTAATTACCCCCTAACAGCCGCACCCCCATATACCCCGCATATACATCCGGAAACACCGACCTGCAGCCAGCCGTGCGCCACCACATTCTCAATGTCGATCTGCATGGCGTTCTCGCACACCATAGAGTAATGCAGATTGTGGCTGCTAAACGCCCGCACGCCGTACGCCCGAGCACGCAGCTGAAACAGCCCCCGCAGCACCTTGTAACGCCCAGGGTCAACACCGCCCATAAGCCCCCGCAAACAGGTCGTCAGCGGCGCCAAGCGGCCGCCTCCGGCCCCGCTGCCGCCACCGCGACAGCAACACCGGAGGAGCCGACGGCGGCCGCTGTGGCGTTGCGCGCCGTCGCCCTCGCCGCCGTGCTGCACCACCGCTACCTCTGTCGTCGCCGCCGCCGTCGCCGCGGCCGCCAAACTGGGATGGCAGAAGCGGAAGGCAGGTCCCGTAACGGCATCCGCACCGGCACCACCACCAGCAGCGGCAGCAGTGGGATGATTAGCAGTAGCGGCGGCTAGCAGGCGCAGCAGCAGGGCCCCCTAGGGCCCCCCCATACACGAGCAGGCCCCCGCACACAGGCCTCCCCTCCGAGCTCCCACACGCCCCACCTCCGACACCTCCTCCAGTCCATCGGGCCCACTTACTGGGTCTCCCGCACGGACTCGGCTCCGTCCATCTCTGCCAGCCGGAACCTGCGCTCCCATCTGGCCCACACGGAGAACTGCGGGACAGGACGGGAGGGGAGGGGACGGGGCGGG